ACAACCCAGGCACATGCCCTTGACCGGAATCGAACCTGGGACCTTTCAGTCCGCAGGCAGACGCTCTATCCACTGAGCCAAACCGGTTTCGGCGGTTGGTTTTTTTTTAAGTAATTTGCAGTGACCACTCAGCAATGATAAGTTGAAACAACCTCAGAACTCTAACTCAGAGCCTTCACTGTTTATATAACTTGCTACCATTTGTGAGTAGCGCTCTCAATTTCTTCCTTTGTAACTACCCCCCCCCCAGGAATCACTAAACACCTCAATACAAATTCAATATTTATTGAGTTCCTCCTATATATCGAGTTCTGGTTTAATTGTTGGTCAAATAAAAATGAAGGGGCAGAGCCTTGTAAATTATAATCCAGTCCAAGTGCTGCCATGGAAGGTGTGCCTTACCCACCATTCTCTTGTTTCTTGCGTCCTGATTATTTTTCTCCTCCTTCAGTTTAAAAGCCCTCTGGATGAGGGCAGCAAATACATTCCTCTAGTTCTTGTGACAATCAGAGGGGTCCCTAAGAGACTGGAAGCTTCCCCACAGGGGAAATGGTGAGTGAAGCCAGAATCAGGAAGGAGGGAGGTCTACTCCAGCCACTGCAGGAGCAGCCTCGGAGCAGGCACTGAAAGGTAAGTTTGGAAAGGCAGGTGGTGCCAGAGCCAGACTGCAGATTGCTCAATGGACCAGGCTCAGCCCTGTGCTGAGTCACTAGGCAACAGAGAGCTATTGTGAATTATTAACTCTGTTAAGATAAAAATCTATCCTATACTAATAAAAGACAAACATGCAAATTGACCGTACTTTCACTACATCTTAAGCCACGCCCCCCGGCCAATCAGAGCGACTATATGCAAATTAACCCAACCAAGATGGCAGCCACAGAGCGGGAGCGAGCAGGAGGCTTGCTTGCTCCAGTGATGGAGGAAGCCAAGCTTCCCCACCTGCTGCGGCCCGGCTCTGAGTTTCACTGAAAGCAACAAAGTTTCAATTATAGAAGGTAAACAAACCCCAGATACCTGCTTTCAGCCAGCCGGCCACGGAGCTGGAGCGAGCAGGAGTGGGTTGCCCCTGGCGATGGAGGAAGCCAAGCTTTCCGCAGACCTCCGCTAAAGGCAACAAAGTTTCAATTATAGAAGGTAAATAAATCCCAGAATAAAAAAAGAAAAAAAGGAGAGGCTGGGAGCTTATGTCACCAGGGGGTGTGGCCAGCCTGAAAACGGCCCTCAGCCCCTCACCCAGGCTGGCCAAACCTCCATGGGGTGAGGGTCCCCACTGGGGTGGACATCCTCCAAGGGGTCCCACACTGCAAGAGGGCATAGGCTGGGCTGAGGGACCCCCTGAGTGCACAAATTTTTGTGCACCAGGCCTCTAGTCTATATATAAAAGCCTAATATGCTAATTGTCCATCTGACCATTTGACCAGTCGCTATGACACACACTGACCACCAGGGGGCAGACACTCCAACCAGTAGGTTAGTTTGCTGCCGGGATCCGGCTGATGGGGACAGGCAAGATGGGCCAGACACGCCCTGGGTGAATCCATGCACCAGGCCTGTTTTGCCCAATCTCTGCAGGCCAGGCCGAGGCACCCCACGGGTGCATGGCCGGGCCTCTAGTGTTATTATAAGATTGCTCAGGCAGTGATGTTTTAGAAAGGCCGAATGAGAGATTCTGAAAGTCGGCAGGCTATTGAGAACTCATGTTTGAGGCCCCACATGTCAGGAGAAGAAACCAGTCCCCACTTTTGAGGAGCTCACAACACACTGGGAGAGAGAAAAACGTAAGGGAGTAGCTGTGATGACACGGGTATACTGTCAACAAACCTGGGGTAAAGTTTGTTGAGAGGGAGGCATCTAACGTGGTTTGAAAAGGAAGACAGAAGTCAAGGGAGGACACAGCTAGTCAGCCTGGCTCCGCAGACTCACCTGATGACGCAGCTCCAGGGAAAGGGAGAGAACTTCAAAGGGTAAGGTAATTGGTTGGAAAAGCCTATCAAGATTATGAACCAGACCTGGCCGGTTGCTCAGTGGTTAGAGTGCTGGCCTGCAGACTGAGGGGTCAGGGGTTCAATTCTGGTCAAGGACACTAACCAGTCTGAAAAACAAAAGTACTTGGGTATTTGAGGAAAGAGAAACAGACACCTATTTGCCAGACCCGGGCTAGACTCTTTGACCTATTTTGACTGTGTCTCCAGACCTAACCATGTCCAACTATGCTCAGGCGGTACTTTGCTGATTACCCAGAGTGGGACAGCTCTGTGGCCGAGGAGCGCGGATGAACGACGGTTTTACAGAGTGTGCAGTGTAAGTGGTGAGGTTAAAGGAGAGGAGGGCAGAAGGAAGGAGATAGAAGGGAAGGCAGGAACTATCTGCAAGAATTTCTCCAGAGACTTGATAAATCAGAAAATCGGGTCCATCTCTCACCCAGCTTTCTCTTCCACAAATAAAGGAATAACACTTTAAAAAGTAAAGCGTAGGCCTTGGCCGATGTGGCTCAGGTGGCTGGGTGTCATTCCAATTCCCCGTCAGGGCACATGCCCAGGTTGTAGGCTTGATCCAATGTCTGGCTCTCACAATTGATGTTTCTCTCTCTCTACCTCTTCCTCTCTCTCTAAAAAAAAACCTTCCAAACTGAAGTCAAAACTCTTCCCTTAATATATTTAAAAGGATACACAGCAGATGATCACCATGCAAGAGATAAGCTATACACCTGCTCTATAGTGTTGAATTTTGCTTCAGTAAACATTTTCATTGTTTTAACAAGTAATATTTTGTTAAATCCAGTGTGGGGTTGGAGAACAGCGTTGATAAAAAGTGGGACCTGACCCTGGCTGGGTGGCTCAATTGGTTGGAGTGTTGTCCCACATACCAAAAAGGTTTCGGGTTCGATTCCCAGTCAGGGCACATACCTGGGTTGTGGGTTGGATCCCTGGTCAGGGCACATATGGGAGGCAACCAATTGATGTTTTTCTCTCTCTCAAATCAATAAACATATCTACTGGTGAGGATTAAAAAAAAAAAAACACAAAACACCTGGGACCTGTTTTTGGTGGCACCTATATGTGTTGGATACTTCTGTGGGATGGCATCCCTCCCTCCACCCAGCTGCTGGTACCGGGGACCTGAAGGTCTAGGGCAGCGGTTTTCAACTCATGGCACACATCAACCATTGAGATCCTACAGCACACCAAATATATCCTACTTTTTGCTGATCTGATAAAAAAAAAAAGTCTAATTTTGATTCATTCACACCAGACAGCTATTGTTGTGTTGGCTGTTGTCATTTTTTTATTTGACATCTAAGAGAAAAGAGGTCAGTGCCCTGACTAGTCAGGTACTGCATGTGTTAAACATTCTCGCGGCACCCGGTTGAAAATAGCTGGTCTAGAGCAAGGGTAGGCAAACTTCCTAGAAAGAACTAAATAGTAAAAATTTTAGGTTTCGAAGGACACATTGTTTGTTACAACCATTCTGCTGTTTTTGTACAAAAGCAGCCATAGACAATATCTAAGTGAATGGCCACGGCAGGGAGGCCGTGGGGCTGAGTCTGGGACCTCTAACCTAGAGCAGTGGTTCTCTCCTGACTGCAGAGTGCAATCACTTGCGGGGCTCACTTGGGGGTTCCAGGCCCCACCTCCGAGATTCCAAATCTAGGATTGGGACCCAAGCTTTTTCCCCCCTAGCTCTTAGGGGATTGTGATGTGCATTCTGGACTGAAAACAATTGTTCTAGAAATAGAACTGTAGTCTTAGGAAATTGCTGGAGGTGGGGGTGAGGGTGGAGTGGGTGGGGAGGCGCGAACACTGAAGAATGACCCAGGGCTGAACTGAAGTCTAAAGATTAGAACTGTTTTCAATAGAACTGAAAATTAAATGCGCCCGATGCTTAGATTAAATGCTCTTTATTTGGTGCTTGCCCTCCCCTCCCAGAGGAGCTCGGGGCGGACCGGCCACCTGCCCCGC